ATTATACATTTTAAGCATACATACTCCAACCTAGGGAAAATTATTAAGCCTTAAGAACTGAAGATCAAGAAAGCATAACAGTCAAATACAAATTTAGTCCAGCTGCGACTTATATATATGCTGCAACCTGTTGGTCAGAACACCCATAAATAGAACATTGCAGATCAAGAAACAAGCAAATAAATATAGTAACAACCATGGAAAGGGGGACGTTTGGTGGTCCTAGTTTAATTGTTTCCGACTTTATTTATACTCGAAACCTAGAGTTGTTGGAACTAATTGAATACTATCCAAACTCTTCATAATTTCCACAGAAGGAGAGGGTCCTAGTGTTATGCCTGCTACTTCTGCTACAATTATTAAGCTGTTCCAAACGATTTTCATATTGCAATAACTACAAAATCTCAAAAGTAAAGGTTTTGACCAATGTTGCTTTCTTCACAGCAAACCCTTGAGGTGGACACGGTTCAGTTTCGGTCTAATTGAAATTAATATTTGACTATCTGTCTTTTTTTCTTCTTTTTTTTTTTTTCAATTTTATAAGAATCAAAACCAAACCAAAAATGTTTATGGATTTTTGGTTCACTACAAGAGATAGACTAATCTCCTACATTTGTTTAAGTGTTTACTTGTGTTTAAAAACACAGGTAAAAATGTTACCAACATTCAAAAAACACCACATAAATGCTGGCATGGATGGTGCCAATAAATATCATACTTGCATTTCATGCGAATGCTAGTATAAACTTATTTTTCCATGCATTTTTTAAAAACACAGGTAAATCACTTATAAAATGCAAGTGATACCCTTCTTAAAAGTCCCAAATGGTGTGGGAATATTTTATATTTTCACTTATGTTTGTCAAACACAGGATTTTTTTTTTTTTTTGGCCTTTCATTATCTTCTTATTGTCAAAATAATACCTAATTGTTGAAAAAACCATTTAAAATCATAACATAATCAATCAAATCAAATATGATAGCAATTAAAAAAAATTTTACACAAACTTGAGATATTACTAAATACTTCATTTTATCATATCCAAATAAGATATAACAACAATGCCGAAATATTATCCAAATACTTAAGTTCCAAAAGCTGAATATCATATCTTAATGCTGCCACCACAAAATTATAGAAATTGATATCCAAACAACATACAACAATATTGATATCTAAGAGTATCCCAAAGCTTTAATTGCTATATTCAAAGGACAACATTTGTAACATTTTCCTCCACAAACTTTTCTGGATAATAAACTTGTCCTTTCAACTAGCTTTTATTATCCTTCCACTTTTTGCTGATTAAAAAAAAAAAAAAATCCTTCCACTTCTTACCAACAGATTTATTCACCCATTTGTTTAGGGTATCATAGTATGAAAAGTGTTGCTGTCAAATACAAGTAAAAATAATTTAAAAGTAACTTTCATGTAACTAATATATATTAAATGATACAAGAACGTTTTGAATTATAAAATTTACCTTTATGGTGGCAAATATAGCCCTCTTGGTCATGGTTGGCACTTTCTTCCGGTTTGGAAAGCTTAATGGACAAAACTGAGGATTACTTATAATGGTTTGTGTTGGCTAGCTTAGGCCTTGCGTGTTGGGTGCATTGGTCCTTTTTGGTTTGTGCCTTTGTTGTTGACTGTAATAATCTGGTTGACTAGTTTAGGCCTTGGCTGTTGGTTGCATTGATTTGACTTTGCTAGTTTGTGAGTTGGGTGTTGGCTAAGGTACCTCCCCTTCCGCTATTGTTTTTTGTAGAAGGTTCATTGCTTGGCTCATTCTCATTGACAACAATTTTGTGCTGCGTTTTTCTTGGTCTCCCCATCTCTCAAGCTTGAAGAAAAATGGAACAAAAGATGCAATGATTGGTCGTACCACTCAAAAAATAAAAATAAAAATAAAAAACCAACAAAACAAACTCCATTTGTTGTTTCTTCAAGTTGTTGGTTATGGCTTCTAATCTACAATCTTTGTTCCAATGTGTTTTGTAGTGCATCAAATAAACAGAGAACAGAAAAGACAGGTGTCCAATTAAGAAAAATAACAACACTATTTTAGAAGTACTTCATTTATCATTAAAATCTCACCAATCAAACTAAAACAAACATTCATTCCCAGAAAAAAAAAATAGAAGCAAAAAATTGTAAAAAAAATAATGCTTCATTTTCTCAGTAGCCAAAGGACTAGTTACCAAAAGAATTGAAAGAAGCAAAATAATAATGCAAGCTAAGAAACACCAAAACACAGATGAAATTGTAGGAAAAAATTAGGAAAAGAAATTTCTAGTGTAGAATCAGAGAACATACCTGAGGGAAATTGAAAAATCCGCTTTAGAATAGAAGACTTGTGAAAAAGATCCCTCAATCGGATTACCTGTTATTGTTGACATGGACATGTAATAAAAAAATCTGCATTCAATTATAGAAAACCCCAAACTTTCAATCTAAAATCTAACTTATGTTTAATTATTAGTACCATCATCTTATTCTTTTCTTGCTCTGCCTACTGTTATCTTAATAAAGCCAGAGGATTAAGAATCAAGATTCGTCAAGATTCAACAAGATTCAACTCCAATGATCCTAATTCCTAAGTTTATATAGATGTCTTAGTGATGATTAAATCCAATTGTGGGTGATTACTCATTAGAATAGATGCTTTGGTCTTTGTTATCTGCTGATTAGCAAACAACTTTAAACAAATGTTTTTCCTAAGGCAGCATATTTCTTCTTTCTTTCTTTCTTTTTCATTATAGTTAAAATTTACTATACAACTTACAAGAAAGGTTGTAGCACTATGGAAACAATTTCAACATATAGTAATAAGAATATTTGCAAAGGTTTTTTTTATGCATCTAGAGAATAGAGATAAGCTAGGAAAAAACTAAATTAGAAGTATATAACTAAATAGCTATGATATTTCATTCCTTTTCCTCTTATACATTTACATTTACATTTACAACCACCCACACCAATAATTCAGTAAATGTCTCAATTCTTACAACTAAACAAAGCCTTAGATGCCCACAATAGGGGTTAAGAATTAAATGAAGAATTTTTCACTAAATAAACAAAGCCTTAGATGCCCTTTACTCATTTCTAGTAGCCTTTGATTGTCTCTAGCCATTAATGAACCAAAACAGACATTCATTCTCCAAAAAAAAAAAAAGATTAAAAAATAGCAAAAAAAATATTCCTTCATTTTCTCAATTGCCAAACAACTAGTTACTAAAAGAATAAAAAAAGCAAAATAACGCAAGCTAAGAAACACAAAAACATAGACAAAATTGGAGAAAAAAAACCAGGAAAAGAAAGTTCTAGTGTCGAATCAAAGACCATACCTAAAGGAAATCAAAAAATCTACTTTAAAATAGAAGGCCTGAGTAAAGAATCCTAAAATCCGACTATCTGTTATTGCTGACACAAAAAGTTCAATGGAAAAATCTGCATTTCAGTCAGCAAAACCCTAACTTTCAATAAAAAATAAGAATAAAAATTAAACATTCAATCGAAAAAGCAAATGGGGAGAACCTTCAATCGAGAACCCTTGAGGCCTGAGTAAAGAACCTACAATCTGACTATCTGTTATTGCTTACACAAATGTTGCTTTCTTAACAGCAAACCCTTGAGGTGGACATGGTTCAGTTTCGGTCAAACTGAAATTAATATTTGACTATTTGTCTTTTTTTTTTTTTCTTTTTTCTTTTTTTAATTTTATAAGAGCCAAAACCAAAAATGTTGATGGATTTTTGGTTCACTACAAGAGATAGACTGATCCCCTACATTTGTTTAAGTGTTCGTCTGTGTTTAAAAGCGCAGGTAAAAATGTTATCAACATTCACAAAAACGCCACACGAATGCTAGCATGGATGGTGCCAATAAATACCATACTTGCATTTCATGCGAATGCTGGTATAAACTTATTTTTCCATGCATTTTCTAAAAACACAGGTAAATCACTTTTAAAATGCAAGTGATGCCCCTTCTTAAAAGTCCCAAATGGTGTGGGAATATTTTATATTCTCACTTATGTTTATCAAACACGGGGTTTTATTTTTTGTCAATTCTGTTGTAAACGTAGGAAAAGTCCCTTTTTTTTTTTTTTTTTTTGTGGCCTTTCATTATCTTCTTATTGTCAAAATAATACCTAATTGTTGAAAAAAAAAAAGACTTTCAACAATTAGGTCTGAGTAAAGAATCCTACAATCCAACTATCTGTTATTGCTGACACAAACGTTCAATGGAAAAATCTGCATTTCAGTCAGCAAAACCCTAACTTTCAATCGAAAATAAGAGGAGAAATTAAACCTTCAATCGGAAAAGAAAATGGGGGGAGAACCTTCAATCGGAGATTCGAAAGAGGATATCAAAAAGGTTAAAATATCAATTTGGTTTCTCAACTTTTAAATTTGTACTAAAATGTCCCTCAACTTAAAAAAGTATCAAAATTGTCCCTGAACTTTAATTTTTAGGCAAAATACCCAAATCCACACTCAAAAAGTATAATAGTAGGGATGGATTTACCTTTAAATAAAAAACGAGGACAAATTCATCCATAAAATTTTTTATTTGAATAAATCATTTTAAATTTAACATGTAACGTTATCTGGCATCAATAATGTGTTAACTTATTATGTCGCTAATAAGTTCATTGTTAACGGATTGTTGATGTTAGATGACATCATACATTAAATTTAGAGTGATTTGTTTAAACCGAAAACTTTATGAGTGAATTCGTTTTCGTTTTTTGTTTTGGAATGAATCTGTCTCTACTAGTATACTTTGGACATAGATTTGGGTATTCTACCTAATTTTTAATACCAAAAAAGTTCTTCCATCAATATAAGTGTCACGTAACTTATTATTTTGCTACAAAATCAGTTCTTTTTAAAAATCAAATAGTCAGTTTTTGCTATCATGGCATATTTCTATTTATATATTAGATTGATATACAATTAAAGTTAAGCAACTAAATTGGAATTTGTAATTAAAGTTTAAGTACTAAGTTCGTATTTTTCTTTAAAGTTTAAGAATTAAATTGGTATTATTTTTAAAGTTTGAGGACTATATTGGTACTAAAAATTAAAGTTCAGGGATAATTTTAATACTTTATGAAGTTAAAAGATAATTTTAGTACAAATCTAAAAGTCGGGGGACCAAATTTGTATTTTAACCCATCGGAAATGAGCTGAAGGATAATCGGAAATTATGGGAAGAAAACTGAGTGAAGACATTCTTAGAAGAAATGAGAATAGAAAGAAACAAATGAAAATGTTTGGGAAAAATGCATTTCAGAACTCAACCATAAATTAAAGTTCGAGAATTTAAAATTTTTCATATTATTCCCACAGTTGGTACAATAATTCATTTTGAAAAATGATTTTGAGATAATTTTTTTTGTATTACCTTTTTATACAACTTAATATCATTTAAATGATTAATTTTTTTTATTTATATGAGACTCATGATATTAAATTCATCAATTTATTTAATGATATATGAAAATTATATAAGAAAAATAATATAAAAAATTATCCTATAATACTGCCCATTTATTTTAGCTCCTTCTCTAGTTGCTTGTTCTTCTTCAGTTAACATTTGGCGCTACTTCAACTGCGCCACTTTTTTTTCCAATTAATTACCTATGTTTTATACTGTAAATGCAAGAATTTACAACCATATATTTGTGTTTCCCAAAACACCATCTAAGCACTGCTGGTAAAAACAAAGAGAGAATAGTTGACTAGTATTTGTTGAAACGTAAGAAAATAAAAGCAAGGAAAGACCCTTTTTCCTGTAGTGGTTTGGTGATTGAAATAATTGGTTTCAACATCTCAATTATTGGTTATAATGAAATCAACAATGTATCATGTATGTGTATTTTGAATTTAACAATGATTATATTTAACCAAAATTTAAAATTTTGAAAGGATATAAATATAAGAAAATACAAAAAAGATGGACAAATGCAAGTAAAATATGAATTTTTAATTTTTTTAATTTTTAGATATATTTTAAATTCAAATACTAAATTATAACAAATTTATGGAGTAAAACTTGACAATGAAATTGAATAAAGATGATTCTTATATTTATTTATAATATTTAAATAACTATTATTTATTTATTAATATAAAATTTTATTTTTTGGTTATTTATTTAGTTTTTAATTTTTCAACCCTCTAACCATTAACAAATCAATTTTTTTATTAATTATCTAACTAAAATTTAAACAAAAATCAATAACTATTTACATCTAACTATTTAATTTTTTTTATCGAATTTTTGACAACCCATTTAATTAACCGGCTACTTAAGCAACCCCTCACCTCCCACTCCTCAAATCATTTATTTCCTGCATTTATTGTCATGTTAGCGTAAGTGTCCTTTTCAGGACAAATTTTAAAAAAAAATGTCTTTTCATATCCTAAATTTATTAAAGTATCCTTTATATTTTTTAATTATTAATGATATTTGATAATTTTAACACTTAAATTACTTACTTTTTTTTTTTTTTGTGCATTCCATAAGAAAAAACCGCCAATCTTGTTTTGTCAATTGCTTCGTATCTCTTCAGCGCTCTCACTTCAGTTCTTAAACCTAACTCTTATCTTATCTTTTATATATATATATATATAATATTATCTATGCATTAAATAGGGTATACATTTATATATAATAATATAATATATATTATTTATTATATAATTATTATATATAATTATTCACAAATAGATGATTCATTTTATTTCCGTTGAAATTATACCATTCTAAATCATATATATATAAGATACTATCCTATGCATTACATAGAGTATACATTAACAATAGTTTAGAAACATTAAGAAAAAAAAAAAACTGGAGTACATTTTATATCAATGAGTTGGTCAAGCTTGCCTTTTTTTTCTTTTTTTCTTTTTTTGATAAGGGTCAAGCTTGCTATATATCCCCAATTAATGCATAAATATGTAGTAAAACAATCCATCCCATTATTTGATGTATATTAAATTAATATATTTATTATTATTTTTTGTTACTTGTGTATTAAACCAAAATAAGAGAAACAGACATACCTTTTGATTTTTCTTTTCATGAAAAGTTCATTAGATAATGAACATATTTAATACTTTCTCTCATAAAATATTCCCATTATTATCATTAATTTTCTAATATTAATGTCTGTCTCTTGAAATTTTCTTCCTACTACTTGTAATCTATTGATTTTTTTTCAAATATAAAATGCTACCCTATGCATTAAATGGGGTATGTATTTATATATATTTAATATATAACAACATAAAAATAGTATAATAATATATGTATTATTTATTATATAATTATTATATAATTATTCATAAATAGACGAATCATTTTCTTTCTTCTGAAGTTACACCATTCTAAATCAAATCTATATATATGTATAATGTTACTCTATACATTACATAAATTATGCATTAAAAATAGT